AGTGGGGGCTTCTGTCCCTGCTTTTCCCCAGAGGGGTGAAGTAAGAGCCACCCGAAGCTGCCCCATTCCCACCCCCACTCAGCACAAAGCTATTTTATACATTTGTGTAACTTGTAGCAAAAAATTTGGTCACAAACAGTATTTACCTGCTCTGTGGCAACCTTCTCCCACTGTTATTATTATTCTGAGGCAGCTTTATATAGATGCCTTACTAGTTCTACTTTAAAATTTTTGCATGAGATAACAGTGTCAAGTGTTCCATGGAGGTTCAGGTTCATGTTGGGGAGATGCAGGACTTTGTCCTGGGCTAGCAGTATTCTCCTTAAGACCCAGGGTTTTATGTGAGGGGTTTTCAGGTTTTTTTCAATGAAGTTTCTTAGAAATAACAAATCCATCAGTTGGGCACGGTGGCTCACGCCTGCTAATCTCAGCACTGTGGAAGGCCGAGGCGAGTGAATCACCTGAGGTCAGGAGTTTGAGACCAGCCCGGCCAACAAGGTGAAACCCTGTCTCTACTAAAAATACAAAAATCAGCTTAGCATGGTAGCACACGCCTGTAATTCCAGCTACCTGGGAGGCTGAGGCAGGAGAATCGCTTGAACCTGGGAGGCAGAGGTTCCACCACTGCACTCCAGCCTGGTTGACAGAGCGAGACTCCGTCACAAAAAAAAAAAAAAAAAAAAAGAAATACAAATCCATCATGTATATGGCAGGTATACAAACCAATAAAAATTAACACTTGTATGCCCACCGTCCAGCCAAAGAAATAGAACTTTCCTGCTACTATGAAGTCCTGCCTCTTTCTCCCGTCTCCCTGTGGAGCCAACTGTGGTCCTGAATTTTATCATTCCCCTTGAGCTTCTTTATTAGTTTTGTCACACACGCATTTGTATACATCATGTATATGCACATGTGTATGTGTATATCCTTAATGACAGGCTGATGGATCTGGCATGTTTTTGAACTTTATGTAAATGAAATATTTCTCTCTCTCTCACACACACACACACACACACACACACACACACTTCTGTGACTTGCTTTTGTGGCTGTTGTTGCTTCGTGATTCTTCCATGTTGAAGTACACAGCTATAGCTCATTACTGCTGTGCAGTGTTCCACTGCTTGGACACACAGCTCATTCATTCACATTCTTGTTAATGGCCATTTGGATTGTCTCTTAGAAGTACTGCTGCTGGCCGGGCGCGGTGGCTCAAGCCTGTAATCCCAGCACTTTGGAAGGCCAAGACGGGCGGATCACAAGGTCAGGAGATCGAGACCATCCTGGCTAACATGGTGAAACCTCGTCTCTACTAAAAATACAAAAAACTAGCCGGGCGAGGTGGCGGGCGCCTGTAGTCCCAGCTACTCGGGAGGCTGAGGCGGGAGAATGGTGTAAACCCGGGAGGCGGAGCTTGCAGTGAGCTGAGATCCGGCCACTGCACTCCAGCCTGGGCGACAGAGCGAGACTCCGTCTCAAAAAAAAAATAAAAATAAAAATAAAAAGAAGTACTGCTGCTTTGAATACTTGTTTAGATAGTCTCCTGGTGCATGGGCCAAAGAATTTCTCTAGGGCAGTGGTTCTCAATCCTGGCTGCACTCTACGATGACCTGGGAGAGCTTTGCAAAAATGCTGATGCCCTGGGCCCTACTCCAAGGGATTCTGACTGAATTGGGTTTTGGAAAGGAAACCCAGGAATAGGCTTTTGTTTTGTTTTGGTTTGGTTTGGTTCATTTTTGGAAGCTATCCAGGTGATTCTAATATGCAGCCAGTGTTCAGCAGCCAGTGTTCAAAGTGACAAGAGGGTGACATTGCCCAAAGTATCCTCACCAACAATGAGTTCCCACCTGGCCACATTTTCACCCACACTTGGTAAGGTTTCTGTTTAGCCTTCTCCCTGCCACGAGGACAGGCAGCTGGGCTGTTCACAGTCTCTCTTCTCCAGTGCAGAGACCAGGGTGCTTCCAGCATGCCAGGCTCCACTGTGGGGTTCTCCCTTCAGCTCCACTGCCTGCCTGTGCACTTGGACCCCACTGTTACAAACAGGGGCCCATTCTGCAGCTCAGGGGTTTCTTCACCTGGAGCAGGTTTGCACCCTCAACTGCTCTCCCTTCTCTCCTGTCCACACTCTGGCTCCAAAGCCTCTGCTCTCATCTCCTTCCAAGTATTTTGTGGTTCTGTTTTGGCTGCCTCCTAACCCCAAGGAAGGTGTGGTTTGTCTCTGCTATCCCCTCCATTTACTGCTTTTGAGTGATTTCAGAAGGAGGAAGTCCCAAATGTACACTGCCAAGTTCTAAGCTAGAGACCTTAGAAAACAAAAAAAGAAGAAAGATTACACCCCTAGCCCCACCTCGGTCCACATTGGGCTGACTCAGAACGTCCAAGGACATCGGGCCTCAGTACTTTTTTTCTTTTTTTTAGACGGAGTTTCACTCTTATCACCCAGGCTGGAATGCAATGGCGCCATCTTGCCCTACTGCAACCTCCACCTCCCCGGTTCAAGCGATTCAACTGCCTCAGCCTCCCAAGTAGCTGGGATTACAGGCATGCACCACCACACCTGGCTAATTTTTGTATTTTTAGTAGAGACGGCGTTTCACAATGTTGGCCAGGCTGGTCTCGAACTCCTGACGTCAGGTGATCCACCTGCCTTGGCCTCCCAAAGAGCTGGGATTACAGGTGTGGGCCACCATGCCAGGCCAGGCCTCAGTACTTTTGTTTATTTTTTTGAGACGGAGTCTCTGTCTCCCAGGCTGGAGTACAGTGGCACGATCTCGGCTCACTGCCAGCTCCGCCTCCTGGGTTCATGCCACTCTCCTGCCTCAGCCTCCCAAGTAGTTGGGACTACAGGCGCCCACCACCACGTCCGGCTAATGTTTTTTATTTTTAGTAGAGACGGGATTTCACCGTGTTAGCCAGGATGGTCTCGATCTCCTGACCTCATGATCTGCCTGCCTCGGCCTCCCAAAGTGCTGGGATTACAGGTATGAGCCACCGCGCCCGGCCAGGCCTCAGTACTTTTAAGAGGTGCTTAGGTGAATGATGGCAGCAGGTTACCCTCCTGGTCTCACCCTTTCCTCAGATGTAAGATGAGGTTGCATTCAGTGATTATTAGAGCCTGTGTTGGCTCCAATACTGTGAGCTTGCTGAAGGCCGAAACCTCTAGCCTGCCTGACTGTTGCCTCACTGGGTGCAGGTGCAGGTGCAGGTGTGGCTGAGCCCCCAGCCCAGGTGTGCTCTGCTGATTGGCAAGGACTCTTTCCTCACTCTGGGCCCCAAACTCCGAGCTGGCTGGCTTGCCCCGGACCCTGTGGAGTGACACGGCAACTGCCGGTGTGAAATCATTAACTACACCAACTGCAGCAGATAGGAGGTGGCAGCGTCCTTTTTGCCAGCAGCATCTAGGACTCATAACAAGAATCGGCGAGGGCTTGTTGCATTTGCTAGGCCTGTTCAGGAAGCTCTGGCTCAGGATCTCTTGTCCTCAACCTGGAGGGTGAGATTTTTGTCCTTCATCTGGGCAAGTGCAGCAGAAGCAACTAACAGTGGCCCTGCAGCTTAATAATTATGTTACTATCGGGCCGGGCGTGGTGGCTCATGCCTGTTAACCCCAGCACTTTGGGAGGCCGAGGCAGGCAAATCATGAGGTCAGGAGTTTGAGACCAGCCTGGCTAACATGGTAAAACCCTGTCTCTATTAAAAATACAAAAAATTAGCTGGGCGTGATGGTGCACGCCTATAGTCCCAGCTACTCGGGAAGCTGAGACAGGAGAATCACCTGAACCTGGGAGGCAGAGGTTGCAGTGAGCCAAGATCACACCACTGCACTCCAGCCTGGGTGACAGAGCAAGACTCAGTCTCAAAACAACCACAACAACAACAACAACAACAACAACAAAAAATAATAATAATAATAATAATGTTACTGTCAAACCATTCTGGGGCTGAATTAGTTTCCTATTGCTGTGTAATCAACGACCTCACATTTAGCTGCTTATAACACCCATTTCTTATCACAAGTTCTGTGTGCCAGGAGTCCTGGCACAGAAGACTGGGGCCTCTACTCAGGATCTTACAAGGTATTGGATAGACTACATTCTCATCTGGAACTTGGGGTCCTCTCCAAGCTAACGTGGTTGTTGGCAGAATGCAGTTCCTTGCAGCTGTAGACTAAGGTCCCCTTTTTCTCCACTGTCTGCCAACGTGTGAGGAGCCTGCACTCACAGTTCCGTGGCCCTCTCACTGCTTGATATGGTGAGGCTTCGTGTCCCCACCCAAATCTCATCTTGAATTGAAATCCCCATAATCCCCATGTGTCAAGGGAGAGGGGTGGAGGTCACTGAATCATGAGGGCGGTTTCCCCCATGCTGTTTTCATGATAGTGAGTTCTCACAAGATCTGATGGTTTTATAAAGGACTCTTCCCTCTTTGCTCGGCATATCTCCTTCCTGCCGCCTTGTGAAGGTGGTGTCTTGCTTCCCCTTCGCCTTCCGCCATAATTGTAAGTTCCCTGAGGCCTCTCCAGACATGCAGAACTGTTAAGTCAATTAAACCTCTTCCCTTTACAAATTACCCAGTCAAGGACAGTTCTTTATAGTAGTAAGAGATAGACTAATACAGTAACTTATTTCTTCATGGCTAGCAAAAGAAACTCTTCTCTAGTTCTTCTAAAGGATCAACTGATTGGGTCAGGCCCCCTCAGGATAATGTCCCTTTTAATTAACTTAAAGTCCATTAGGGACTTTAATTACATCTGCAAAATCCCTTCACTTTTGCCACAGAATGCAACCTAATCGCAGTACGGATTATCCCATCACATTCACAGGTCCTGCTGAAACTCAAGGGGAGGTTATTATACAAGGGCATGAGTCACTAGGGGTCATCTTAGACCTGCATATAAAAGGGTCTTTGGAGCCAAACTTCAATTAGCCACACCAACAACTAAAATCTACCAGCAGGGACTAGCATAAGCAAAAGCAAACTTGGAGAATCCAATCAAGTTTCAAGGACAGATACCAATGAACACTTTTATTTACCGATAAAATATAAAAATCCAGGTCTCTTAAATCCACACAATCTCTCCAAATATTTGGCAAGATTGATCCCAAGTCCGTACGGGTGGGTAACAAGAATAAAGGGGTCTCTGCTCAGAGAGACTTATTGTTGTTCAGAGTTCTGCCCTGTTTCCCTCTAAATGCTCACCAACCTGGGCTCTTCTAGAGTGGGCAGACAGGCCTTATTCTAAGCATAGGACTAGCCCCATTTGTGTGTGACACTAAGTTCCTCCAATGGTCCAAACTAAGCGTGGATGACTATCCAACATCACACACAAATGCACATCCCCTCTCTTTACAAGACATGCAGAATCTCAAGATATCTCAAGATATGCAGCAAGTTTAATACCTGAAGGTTAACAGAAATGACAACAGGACACAGATACAATGCTACAGTAAAATGTGGTTGGGGGTGGAAGGGGGCAGAGGAACACTGGATATCATCACAGCAACCAGTGAGTGAGTCCTCTGGTGCCCTGAGGAGGTTGTGAGACACTTAACTCATGTCACAAAGAATGGAGTAAACTAACAACTCTGAAAGACAAGCAGGTGGCAGCATTGCTGAGATGAGACTCAGGGCAGGGGTCTGGAGCTCGTCACAGAGTGTTAATGCTCCAGGATGCCTGGGCTCATGAGTGTTCTGGTCAGCATTTTAACATCAGAAGAAGGGCTTCTTCAGGACACACTCCCTTCTCTTAACATGAGGTGAAGAAACCCATCCCATTCTGAGTAACCGGGCCCCATAATACCTTGGTCTTTTGATACACAGCAGCACTACACACCACTGCGCCCCCCAGCCAGCTTCACTCTATCTAAGCACCCACTCTGCAAATGGATCTCAGAGTGAACAAATCCAGAGGAGGTGGGAGGAGCCACCGTGGTGGGATGTGAGGGACAGGAGTTGGCTGGAGGAGCAGATGGGTCCCATGTCAGGTCCCTCCTAGGCATCATGAAGATTGCTATCACTCAGAAGCACCTTTTCCCCAGGTTTGAAGGCTGGCATCCCAAGGTAGGGGCAGCTGGCACAGCGGAAGGCATCGCCCAGGTAGCACTGGAGAGAGAAAATGGGGAAGCCAAGGGTCAGCTTATCCCACGCATACCAGCCAGAAGAAAGAAATTCCTAATTTCATGTGGTCACAGTGGCCTGAAGGAAATGGCTGAGTATGTTTGCAGGTCCAATTGAGTCCCAAATATTAAAAGTTTTCAAGATTTCTGGTTTCGTGAAAAACTACAGTCAAGAAAAGTTCCCTAGGAGGCCATAGTTCTTTTGTTTTTTTGAGACAGAGTCTCACTCCATAGCCCAGGCTGGAGTGCAGTGGCGCGATCTTGGCTTACTGCAAGCTCCACCTCCTGGGTTCCTGCCATTCTCCTGCCTCAGCCTCCTGAGTAGCTGGGACTACAGGCGCCTGCCACCACGCCCGGCTAATTTTTTTGGATTTTTAGTAGAGACAGGGTTTCACCGTGTTAGCCAGGATGGTCTCGATCTCCTGACCTTGTGATCCATCCGCCTCGGCCTCCCAAAGTGCTGGGATTACAGGCGTGAGCCACCGCACTCGGCCACAGTTCTATATTCTATGCAGTTCAAAACACAACCAACTTCAGCTAAATGTCTAACCATCAGGTCCCACTCTGAAGTACAAAGAAATGGGCCAAAAATAAAAAAACACAACAAGACCCTCCCCTACCAGCACAAGCATGCTAACCCACTCTCATTCTCAGGAGAAAGCCTCTCTCCCCATTACTACCTATGTTCGTGTGCTCACGCATTCGTCTGTTACTAAAATATTTGAGGTGGAGCTTGTATGTGCTTGGTTTAGAAGGAGGCCTAATCCCCCTGGGGGTGTGTGAATGCCGAGGAATGATCCTGATATTTACGTTTCCACAAGCCGACTTAGGTTGGGAGCTCATCTGTTCCCTCGACTTCTCTTTTTCCAGTTCTTCAGCAAGGCCACAGGTGCTGTGGGAAAATCAGTAATTAATGAACGAGAATTGTCACCACCCAGAAATCCCAAATCCTAACAGTGCCAAAATGTGCTTTAAGCCTTTTCTCTTCACACCAGTGTCATAACTCAGAAGCCTATGAGCCAGGCAGACAGCAGCAATGTGAGAGGCTGCTGAGGGAGACAGGAGTGGGAGGAGGATGAGGGAAGTAGAGTATGTGTATTCTGTTTACAGAGGGCAGCCACTACTCAACTTCAGCTGGTAATCATGCTGGGGAAAGTGGACCCAGTTTGCCATATTTTCCAAATTCAAGAACAGAAGGGGAAAAAAAATCTGTCTTCACTTGTAATTTCCTGATTTGTAAATGCTGGCAGCTTTTACATTTAAAAAACACTGATGATTAAACAAGCCTGAATACCACTGATTAACTTTCTACAATCCTTCCCATCCATTTATAAAAACAAATGTGAAGACACCAAGGTCTCACTCTGATGCCCAGGCTGGAGTGCAGTGGCACAATCGTGGCTTACTGGTAGGGTTTTGAGGAAGAGTGAAATTAGATGCATGGCACGATTACGGCTCACTGCAGCCTCGACATCCCAGGCTCAAGTGATCCTCCTGCCTTTGCCTCCCAAGTAGCTGGGACCACAGGCACATACCACCATGCCTGGCTAATTTTTTTTTTTTTTAAATTATTTGCAGAGATGGTCTCCCTGTATTGCCCAGGCTGGAAAACGTATGTTTTAAAAATAGTACAGCACTGTGATGACTTGAGCACAAAGCCACTGCATGCAGCATGGCAGGCTCCAGTCACCCCGGCACTCACCAGTTCTTACAGGCCTTCCTCTTTTTCCCTTCTCCACAAGAAGCAGCCCGCAGGGAAGCCGGATCTGGCTTCTTCAAGTCTTCTGGATCCAGCAGCTCATCTGAGTCAATGAGATCCTGGAGAGTGTTCAAAGCAATGAGTGACACAGTCGTGGTCTCTGCTAATGAAAAGCTAAAGTGACCACAGGCTTTAAGAGGAAACTTGGAGTCCAGGCTAAAGAAGGTGTCCACCCTGTCCTACTTTTGGTTGATCATCATGTTCAACCTGACCACATGCTCAAGAGGCCAACAGTGAGTTAAACTACATCCACAGAAGATGCACTAGGATGTGAAGGAATTAGAAACAAATTTACATGAGAAAAAGCTGTAAGACTGGCCAGTATTGTGTAGAGAATATACACATGTTGGGGGTTAGGGGCAGGAATGAGGAGAAGGGAGGGAACAGGCAGAACAGAGAGGGACAGAAGTGTTTATGAAGAGTCATGTGAAAAAGGGAATAAAACATCTTCTACATAATCCCAGAGAAAAATCAAATAATTATATATACCTTTATGTAATTCTTTGTAAATGTGTAGACACTTAGTCTGTAAACCCTATGAGAGCATGAACCTGACTTATTTTGCTCACTACTCTAACTTCAATAGTAGAGGTGTAGAAATGAAGAATTTTATTACAGGCAGGGCCAATCAAAGATGGAAAACAGGGCTTTTTAAAGCATGGAACGTTCAGCAACTTGCCCAAACAAAGGTGCCAATAAAACTATTTAAGCTGACAAAATCTTTTCAGGTTTACACATGCCCACAAGAGTTTTCAACATATCATATGAAGTGAGAACAAGAAATTATGTGGGGAAAAAGAAATGCTAAAAAATTTAAAATGCCACCAACACAGCTGAGTGCAGTGGCTCACGCCTGTAATCCCAACACTTTGGGAGGCCAAGGTGGGCAGATCACTTGAGGTCAGGAGTTTTGAGACCAGTCTGGCCAACATGGTGAAACCCCGTCTCTACTAAAAATACAAAAATTAGCCAGGTATGGTGGCACGTGCCTGTAATCATAGCTACTTGGGAGGCTGAAGCACGAGAATCACTTGAACCCGGGAGTAGAGACTGCAGTAAGCCGAGACTGTGCCATTGCACTCCAGCCTGGGCAAGAGAGCGAGACTCTGTCTCCAAAAAAAAAAGAGCCACCAACATGGAGTTTTCTTCTAAATCAAAGATATAAGTGACAGGCATAGTCATAAATCTGGGCTTTAAATACATTCACACCTACAAGTCCAGAAAGGTCACTATAGCTGTTCACACCCAAACCGGGGCCTGAAAGAAAGCCATCAAGTGACCGCGGTGCCAGCTCACCATGCTGTCGTCCTCCATATCGTTGGCTGAGAGGGTCCACAGCTTGGCAGCAGCAGGGTCCACAGCAGGCTTCACTGAGTCCAAGCAATAAAAGAAAAAAACTCCATAAAAACAGTCAGAAACTATTAATTACAAACATACCTAAATGCTTTCTGCTGTGTAGAAAAGAACACACTGGCCTGGGAGGCAGAAGACGTGGGTTCAAAGTCCAGCCCTACTCCTGTAAGAGGACCTTGGGCCAACCACTTTCTGGTAGTTACAGCAGTCACCATTTGCTAAGCACTTGCTTTGTACCAGGCACCATATTAAGCACTTTATATACATTATCTAACTTAATTCTGCTGACAACCTTATGAGGTAACTGTCATCCTAGTTTTACTGCTGAGGAAACAGGTTTAGACACTTAGGCTGGTTCCACAGGCTGCAAAGTCTGTCTGATGCTTTTAACCTCCATTCCATATTGCTTCCTCCTTGATACCTTAGTTTCCATCCTATAACATGAAGCTAAATCGTACTCCCTATGTTACTGCAGGTGTTTTGAGGATTAAACGAGAAATGTGTCAAAACCTTTAAAAATAGCAGAGCTTTATAGCCTCACGTAAACCTGCTACATACAAGAAAATAGGCTCTAGAGCTGCTGGTGGCAAGGTAACACCATCAGTGGCAGACAAACCTCACACCTCCCGGTTCTCTGTCTAGTCAGGAGAATGCAAGGAACAGCCCAAGAGCTGAGGCTCAGATGCAGTGTGCGCAAATCCTCGCAGGCCCTTGGGGTAAGAATACCCTCCAGTGATCGTTGTCACAACTGGATGCTCACACCTGCCACAGGGCCAACTGTTCTTCTAAGCTATTCCTACTCATTCTGGAACCATGAGTTGAAAGGTTAGATTCCAAAGGATTTCTTGAAGATTTAGGTTAGATGGTCAAAACCATACAAGGTGGGATGTACCAGTATATATCTGTACATGTGTGCATACCTCACAGCTGGGTCAATTCAGGCATTTAAAAATAGTGATAGGAAGGATGAGCATGGGGCAGTGTGTGTGTGCACGTGTGTGTGCGTGTGTGCTTGTACACAATTTTCTAGGCAGAAGAAATACAGTTCGTAAATGTCGTAGCATCCTCAAAGTAAGAACAGCTGGTTTTTCTGGCATCGGGGAAAAAAGCACATGAGAAGAGGAACAGGGCACTCTCATCTGCCATTACCACTACACTGTGAGGTCTTCTGAGGATAAATGTTAATTCTGGGAACTGGAAGGACTTCATTAATTAAACTGTGTGACTCAGTCCTGTAGAATTAGGAGGCCTCAGTATCTTCTGGTGCAGAAGAAGGAGCTGAACTAGATAATACCTATGCATTATTTCAGTTTGGGATCCTAATATGCCCATGATAATAGTACATTAAGTATTCTTCTATAGTGGAAATGGCAGAAATCAAAGGACTAATCCTCTAAAAATATCACCATTTCATTTATTGCTGGCTCAATTTCTAACATGTCCCTCTAAGCCCATTCAAACAGAAGAATGTCCCTAGGCCAGCCTTACCTGAAGGAGAAGACTTCTTGGTGATGGAAAGCTTAAGCTGACTAGAAGAACCCACTTCAAAGTTTGGTTTTTTGCCTGTGATCTGAACAAACAGCAGATGGTCACTTTCATGACCAAGGTATTCTCGAACAGACTGTACTTCCTCAGGGGTTAGGGGCTCCCGCTGCAGCTAGAATTCAAGACATCAAAAGGATTAGTCCACCCTCCTCTATAAAATGGTTTACTATGTCTACCTACACAGGAGTTAAAGACTCATTTCTGTGCATTAAATATATAACAGTAGATGGTAACAGATATCGCTTTATGCCTCACATTCAGTTTCTCACTGAGAGGAACCCTAGAGTATAACCCTTGTCTGCATGTTTACTTGGAGCCTACCCCTTGGAAAATGTAAAAGTAGTTATAAAATATTAGGTATGAGGCATATGCTAGTTATTGTAGGGGATGTAATATAATTATGAAAATGAACCAGATGTGGTCTTACTGTGTAACAGGAAAGAATGCCCACAATGAACATAGCAGAAATTTATATCCCAAAACACAAAGGGGGAGCAAAATCCTTTCTATGTTCCTTGGGATGAAGTAGCAGAGAGTAAAGGTAGAAAAAAAGGGTTAGGGTGCCACCTCTATGTCCAATAATTATAGACTGGTTATATAAATCACAGTCCATCTATTGCATGGAATACTATTACATCATTAATATGAATGAAGGGAAATACACTGAAGTGGGTAAGTGTCTATGATATCTAAGGGTGAGAAAAAAGCTGGTGATTGAACAATGTATGCATATGATCTTATTTAAATTTTTAAAAAGGTATGTGCATGTAGATGCTTGTAAATACATAGGAAAGGTCTGAATGGACATACAAAAAGGCATTGGTGGCTTCCTCTGGGGAAAGAAGTGTGAGCAAGGAGTAGGATGTCACTTTATATTCTGTATGCTTCAGTATAAAGTGAATTTTTATGAGGAGTCTGATATAGTTTGGATATGTGTCCCCTCTAAATCTCATGTTGAATTGTAATCCCCAGTGTTGGAGGTGGGGCCTGGTGAGAGGTGACTGGATCATGGGGGCAGACTGCTCATGCATGGTTTAGCACCATCCGAATTCTCATGAGACGTGGTTGTTGTAAAGTGTGGCACCTTCCCCACCCCAACTCTTCCTCTCTTTCTTGATCCTGCCTTTGCCATGTGATGTGCCTGCTCCTGCTTCACCTTCTGCCATGAGTAAAAGTTCCTTGAGGCCTCCCTAGAAACCCAGCAGTTGCACGCCCATGCTTCCTGTACAGTCTGCAGAACAGTGAGCCAATTAAGCCTCTTGTCTTTACAAATTATTCAGTCTTAGGTATTCCTTTATAGGAACAGAAGAACGGTCTAATACACATTCCTTATTTTAAAATCAAGCACAGAAAACCTTAAGCTAAAAGGAAAAATAAGAAAGCGCTGGCATAATGAATCTAAGGCCTGGCAGGATGCAGTGGCTCACGCCTGCAATACCAGCAATTTGGAAGGCTGAGGCGGGTAGATCACCTGAGGTCAGGAGTTCGAGAACAGCCTGGCCAACATAGCGAACCCCCATCTATACTAAAAATACAAAAAATTAGCTGGGTATGGCGGTGCATGCCTGTAATCCCAGCTACTTGGGAGGCTGAGGCAGGAGAATTGCTTGAACCCAGGAGGCGGATGTTGCAGTGAGCAGAGATCGTGCCACTGCACTCCAGTCTGGGCAACAGAGCAAGACTGTCTCCAAAAAGAAGAAAAAAAAAATTAAAAAAAATAAAAAATAAAGAATTTAAGGCCCTACGTTATGTAAGAAATAACAGGCACATCAGCTATCATGCTGTAACATTTACCTCTCCCACATCCAAGAAAATTTTAACATCAAAGAGTGTAGAAATATAAACACTTCTGCTTAATTTAAATATTTCCACTGAATTGTCAGAAAAAGAACTTTGCCCCTAACCTATTCCAGCCTCCCACCAAAAATGTGAGGCTGAACTAGGTGACAGTGTTCACCCAGGCCTAGGATTCGGGTCTACTGAGAGGTGGGTGTTGGAAGCAACAGAGCTGCTGCTCATGCCCCTCAGCTGTCACTACCACTAAACTAGTACCAAGGAGACAAGAACAAGCCCCAGCCCACATGGGCCAAGTTGAGTCTCTTCGAAGTTGATTATTCTCACAAGTTTTTTTTTTTTTTTTTGAGACAGAGTCTCACTCTGTCGCCCAGGCTGGAGTGCAGTGGCATGATCTCGGCTTACTGCAAGCTCCACCTCTTAGGTTCACACCATTCTCCTGCTTCAGCCTCCCAAGTAGCTGGGACTACAGGCGCCTGCCACCAGGCCCAGCTAATTTTTTTGTATTTTTAGTAGAGATGGGGTTTCACCATGTTAGCCAGGATGGTCTCAATCTCCTGACCTCGTGATCCACCTGCCTCGGCCTCCTAAAGTGCTGAGATTACAGACATGAGCCACAGCACCCGGCCTATTCTCACAAGTTTTGTCCTTTGAAGCATCATGTATCTTACATGCAAAGCATTTCTTGTTTCCTAGTTCTAAGCAATACTGATTACCTCACCTGCAGGGCATCAAAGAAAGTTGTCTACAAACATACCTCTTTCACTTCCACAAGACCAGAAAGAGTCAGGGCTGAACACAGCTTAGATGCTGTCTTCACTTTGCTATTGTTATCTGCCAAAAGGAAAATCTCAATTAATAGCTTTATAGGTCAAAGTAGGAAAAATAATAAAGGCTCAATCCTATGTGGGTTAGCAAGCATTCAAACAATAATAACCAGGCGGGCATGGTGGCTCATGTCTGTAATCCCAGCACTTTGGGAGACTGAGGTGGACAGATCACTTGAGGCCAGGAGTTCAAGACCAATCTGGCCAACACAGCAAAATCCCGTCTCTACTAAAAATACACACAAAAAAAATAGCCAGGCGTAGTGGCACATGCCTGTAATCCCACTTACTTGGGAAGCTGAGGCATGAGAATCACTTGAACCCAGGAGGTGGGGGTTGCAGTGAGCCGAGACTGCACCACTGCACTCTGGCCTGCACAACAGAGTGAGACTTGATCTCAAAGAAAAAACAAAAAACAAAACAAAACAAAATAACCTATTCTGTTTAATGTACAGATGGTCCCTGACTTAATGATGGTTCTACTTATAATTTTTCAACTTTTATGATGGTGTAAAAGTGATACCCATTCAAGTAGAAACCGTATACTTCAGTTTTCACTAAACTACATGAGATACTCAGCACTATTATAAACAGGCTTTGTGTTAGATGATTCTGCCCAACTGTAGGCTAATGCAAGTGTCCTAAGCGTGTTTAAGGTAGGCTAGGCTAAGCTAAGCAATTACGTTTAGTAGGTTAGATGAATTACATGCATTTTCGTCTTAATAGCATTTATCAGGACGTAACTCCATTGTAAGATGAGGACAACTGTATATACATTTTAGTGATATTATTTTATTCTTCTTCTTATTATTATTTTTGAGACAGGGTCTCACTTTGTCATGAAGTGCAGTGGCATGATCTTGGCTCATTGCAGCCTCGACCTCCCAGGTTCAAGCAATCCTCCTGCCTCAGCGCCTACCAAGTAGCTGGGACTATAGGTGGGCACCACCATGCCTGGCTAATTTTTGTATTTTTTGTAGAGACGGGGTTTCGCCATGTTGCCCAGGCTAGTCTCGAACTCCTGGACTCAAGCAATGCACCTGCCCTGGCCTCTCAAACTGCTTCGATTACGGGTATGAGCCACTGTGCCTGGCCATAGTGATACTATTTTAACTTGACAAACACTTTTTTTTTGTTCAAAGTGTTTTTACCTAAGCTCTTAAATGTTATAATTCCATTATTATTATTTTTTTTATCACTCTGCTTCTTGAAACCCCTTCCAGAGGTTGTGAGATAATGACTATGAAAAGAGGCTTATGAACTGCAAAGTGCACAGAAATACAAGTATTCTTTCTGTATAGTTCTTTTTTGCTCTCTATATAGTTCTGACTGAGACACTGCATTTAGTCACGTAAGGTTTAAACTCCCAGCAAAGAATGCTGATGTATACTACACATAACACAAAGTTCTATTTCCCCATAAACAACGAACACCTTTATACATTTCAAAATACTTTCATTTCTATTATTCTATTTGATGAAATTGTTACATTTTGACTGAAAGTCTAGTGAAAAATATTAAAATCCAGAACTGAATCACTCTGACAGCTATACCACTGATCAAAAAATTTTTTACTTCATGAACACTGTCATTAGTTTCACATGAATCAATAATTACCACATCACCCCTAGAGTTCCAGTCATTATTTTTAAACCTTTTATTTTGAAATAACTATAGATTCACAGGAAGTTGGAAAAAACAAAGAAGTTCTATATATTAAGGAGGTCTTCACTTCGTCTCTCCCCACAGTAACATCTTACCCAATTATAGCCTGATATGAAGACCAGGAAATTGATACTGATGGTCCACATAGCTTTTTCAGATTTCATTACTTTCATATGTACTCGTTTGGCAGAGGGGGCTTTATAGTTCCAAGTAATTTTATTACATGTGTAGATATGTGTAACCACCACCACATTCAGAACACAGAATTGTTCCATCTATAAAGGAGAAGCATTATACTTCCCCTTTATAGCTCCACACACCCCTTTCCTCCCACTTCTAACCTCTGGCAAACTCTAATCTGATCTCCACTACTATAATTTTGTTATTTCAAGAATATGAATGGAATTGTACAGCACAGAGCCTTTTGAGATCGGCTTTTTTCACTCAGCTACTTCCCTTGATATCCATCCAAGCTGATGTACATATAGTTAGCGTGTTCCTTTTTATTGCTGCATCACTTTCCATATTATGAACATATCAAAGTTTATTCACCTGCAAAAGGACCCACTTTTAGATGGCAGTTTCCTTCTATTTTGTTACATAATGAGTCAGCCAAAGACTACAATTTCTCCAGATATGTTGCTTCAGATTTTAACAATAACTTATCCCCAAGGAAAAGGTTTTGCTATAGGAATACTGATCTCCCAATGATATTTCCTGCTCAGGGAGATGCAGCACACATGCTCAAAGACTCAACCCTGTCAAATGTGTTTTTCAAGTGAAGATCTCCTTACCTACAGCTGTCTCTACCGGCTCTTTCAGAAAAAGACATCCACCAGGCCGAAGGATCCGGGCGATTTCAGCCAAAATCTCAGCACTGTGCAGAGTGGTGCTTCCCGGGACTAAACCCGACAAAATAATGTCAAAGCTGGATTCTTTGTGGGCAGCTGAAAAGAAAAGGACTCTAATTAGCAATCATCTGGCCTGGGACAATCTCCTGGTCCCTTTCAACCCCCAACAAAGGCTACAGACCTCACCCTGAGAGAATGGACACCACTCGGTATCCATCCAAGAAGCTGGATTAATAGTAAGCATTTTAAAAAAACATGGAATAGCTACACAGAAAGAACATCATACTTATGGAAATCATCAACTACAATCCTAAGCTCAGTGTATCTCAACTGAAAAACAACCGGGTGACGAGCCACCACTATCACATGCCACCCTAAATGAAAACTCAGATATTAAGGAACCACAGAAATGCAACACTCCCACAGAAACCCCTCCAGCCTCATACAGACAACATGGGTGGGTACTTACACTGCAACAGCTGGTTGATGTTTTCCACAGACACATGGCCTTCATTGCCAGTTAACACTTGAAGCTTATCCACCAGACCTTTCAGAGCCTCCACTGGGGATGACTTATCCCAGACCACTGCCACAAACTGGCCAGCAGAGATCCCAAAATCTGCCATTCTTGCAGTGCAGTACTGATGGACCTAAAAACTGCTGGCCAAAAGAGAATCAAGACTGGGCAAAGACAAAGTGCAATTTAATCCATGAGGTATCATAAAATATGATTAGAATCCCAACCTAACTTGTAACCGCCCACTAGGGAATGCTGACATTAGAAACCCTACTGTATATGCTAAAGAGTCTGAATACATGAACCCCATTATCTCAAGTCTTCATAATCCCAACATTCCCAAAGAAGGCCGATAGCTTCCTTGGTGAGAATCCTGACTTGGAAGAGTCAACAAAGGGGATTAGAGGCAAATAAGAAGGTTGGAGGCAGAAAGATGATTTCCTCTTTAAGATAATTCAGCATGAACGGAATGCAAAACACATAGGACATCAATTAGGCAAAGTGTGACTCAGCAAGGAAGGCAAATAAATTGACAGAAATAATCCAACCACAGGTTCAATGTTTTTAAAATGAAACAACACATTTAAAATTTGCAAATTGAATACTGGTATTTTCCCTTTCATCAAAATATGAAAATTTAATTTCACTGACTCTGCAGTGATCAAGAATACTTACCACGTCTATACCATTTAATATTAGCCAGACTGTTCAAAGCATCTTCTAAACATTATCTCGACTAAATCTCAGAACAGCCTTAAACTAGATATTATTACCATTTTACAGTCTGGAAACTCAGGCAATTTACTTTGTCCAAGTCACACAACTAGTGGGTGTTACATGGATAAAGTGAGAACTAGGATTTGAATCCAAATTCATCTGACCGTAAAGCCCATGCTTTTAACCTTTGGAAATTTCCCTCCATAGATCAACTTTCTCTTCTACTTGATACTCAGGTGAGTATATAATACGCTCACAAAGAAAGTAGTTCAAGAGATAGTACTCTATTCAGTTCCTTTCATTCTTAAACATTAATGACACCAGTTTCCAATTTAACATAGCTCAAATAAATGAAACAAACAATTTCTGGTAGAGGGGTCAAACTTGGATTAGTTTTATGTTGAACATTTCAGACTTCTGCAGAGGTGGCCAACTCAGTGGCAATCATGCCACCACAGATACAGACTGAATTTAAGCCAAGTCACTACACTCTCGTTTCTTTTAAAATGTTGACTTCAGCTGGGTGCAGTGGCTCACACCTGTAATTTCAGCACTTTGGGAAGCCAAGCCAGGCAAATTGCCTGAGCCCAAGAGTTTGAGACCAGCCTGGCCAACATAGTGAAACCCCATCTCTACTAAAAATACAAAAATGAGCTGGGCGTGGTGGTGCACGCCTGTAATCCCAGCTACTCAGGAGGCTGAGGCAGGAGAATCGCTTGAACCTGGGAGGTGGAGGTTGTAGTGAGTCAAGATCGTGCTGCTGCACTCCAGCCTGTTGACAAAGTGAGACTGTCTCAAAAAATAAAAATAAAAATAAAAAAATAAACAATTATAGCTCATGCCTATTATCCCAGCACTTTGGGAAACCGAGGCAGGTGGCTCCCTTGAGTCCAGGAGTTCAAGACCAACCTGGGCGACATGGTGAAACCCCATCTCTACTAAAAATACAAAAATTAGCTGGGTGTGGTGGCAGAATCTGTGGTAGTCTTATGTGGTAATCTTATGTAGTCCCAGCTATTGGAGTGGAGGAGAGGGCCTGAGGCGGCAGGACTGCTTGAGCCCAGGAGCTTGAGGCTGCAGTAAGCCAAGATTCCAGCCTGGGTGACAGAGCAAGACCCTGTCTCAAAAAAACCAAAGTTTACTTCAAGTAACTCTCCTCTTTGCCTACAAAACATACGCAGGATGTCAAATATTTAACACTCAAGCATTAAATACTACAGCACTTTGATCTGTCACTCTTTTTCTAAAGGAGTTACTAAACGTTTTATTTGCTAGAGTGAAGTCAATTAGCCTTCTGGATCCACGGCCTCCATAATCTGGCTCTACCTGTATCTCCCACCACTCCAAAGTGATCCCACCTTATTCTATGAAAACCCTTTGCATTTTCCCTTAATTGTGCCTTTTATCTAGCTCCTTCTGTATGATCCAACTGCTAGCGCCCCTAAAAGGATGCTAAGTGTTATCAGACAAGTAGGATTCTTTAGTCATTTAACTCTGTTTTTTTAATGGCAGAGGGCAAGTAAAAATGGAAAAAGAAAAGAAAAAAAATTATACAAAAGAGAATAATTCTGGTTTTTTTTTGGTGGGGGGGTGGGGAGGATGGAGTTTCACTCTTGCTGTCCAGGCTGGAGTGCAATCGTGGCTCACAGCAACCTCCGCCTCCCCGGTTCAAGCGATTCTCACGCCTCAGCCTCCTGAGTAGCTAGGATTACAGACGTGCATCACCACACCCGGCTAATTTTGTATTTTTTTAGTAGAGGGGGTTGGTCAGGCTGGTCTTGAACTCCCAGCCTGAGGTGATCCGCCTGCCTCGGCCTCCCATAGTGATGGGATTACAGGCATGAGCCATGTGCTCAGCTAATTCTGTGGTTTTTTTGCTTGTTAGTCCTGTTTTTTGAGACAGAGTCTCACTTCATCATCCAGGCTGGAATGCAGTGACACAATCTCGACTCAGTGCAACCTCCACCTTCAGAGTTCAAGCAATTTTCATGCCTCAGCCTCCCAAGTAGCTGGAATTACAGGTGGACACCACCACACCTGGCTAATTTTTGTATTTTTAGTAGTGACAGGGTTGTTGGCCAGGCTATTCTCAAACTCCTGACCTCAAGTGATCTGCCCGCCTTGGCCTCCCAAAGTGCTGGGATTAAAGGCATGAGCCTCCGTGCCCGGCCAATTCTGGTTTTTAAATCCCTAAACAGCACACAATCAAGAACTGAAACTTTTAATTGGCACATGATGTCGAGGAAGAACCCCTGCAAACTTTAAGGTGTGCCATATGGGATCAATCTCACATTTAAGAACCAGCCAGGCAAGATGGGAGTATAGATTGCTGGACATTAAGTTATCAGAATAAAAATGATCTGTTTCTAGAATGATGTTGGAATAGGTTCTTCCTTGGGATAACAGAAAAGGATGATAAAGACCCCACCTACTAGACTACTGCAACTTTGCACTGTATTTACAGAAAAACCCTCATGAAGGAAACGAGGGGCAAAAGCTTACTTATCAACTAGAGAAAAACAAAAAGCCAAATGTCTAGACCTTTTCAGCAACATTTATGGAGGCAGTTTTATAGGGCACAGGTTTTGAGTGCAGATGACCTAGGGTCCTATCTACCACTGGATCTTATGGGCATATGACCATAGATAAGTTACTAGACTCTTTGAATTTGTTTTTTCATCAGTAAAGTAGGGATAATAACCTCATATTTTGCGAGGCTGCTGTAAGAAGCAAATGAGAAGATAATAATATGTAAGGCACTCGGCAGGCTCTGGCACACAGAGCTCTGTAAAGTAATGTTCTAGAACTCTGGGCTTCCACTTTTCTGTGGCTAGTTTACCAGCCTTTGCTTCAAACAGTCCTATAAAACCCTGTTTCTCCTTAGCCATGCCTGATAGGAGGACACCCCAGGGAGTGAGAGGAAGCTGCTTTTTCATTGTTAGAATTAGTGTAAGAGCTGTGCTTTATGATCTTTGGACAGTACTCCAGTGGGACTGTGTCAGTAAATTAGAAGAATGTAAAATGCTTTGCGTTCTGTATCTCCCAAAACTAATCTTATGGTAAGAGGAGCTTATGAACTACATTAATTAAACATCAAACCTCAAAAAACAGGCATAGCCACTACTTTCAGTCAGCATTTTTCAAATAAAATAGGAGATAATATTCCTTCAAATATCTAAAACCAAAGTGTGATACTTTTCATCATCAGTTTTATTTTGCTGTTGTGAATTTGTCTTTTAAAACAAAAAAACCCATAACGAAAAAGTGTCCCGTATCTAAGACAACATGCTCAGAAGCTGTGATTCAGGACCCAGCTTCATAATAAGAGGTGGCATCATTGTCACGTCACTGAGCTCATTAGGTGCCTCTCCAACCCTGACTGAGGCACACACATGTCCATGGCCCTTCTAAAATGTTACTGGCAGGCAGTAAAAGCAGATGTCTGAGAACAGACGGTTTTTCAGGTGCCCAGTAAGCATCAAATCTTGAGGCATTTGGTCTCTCTTCTGGTGAAACGGGACAAAAGAAAATAGTAAGACTGAAATTTGGGCTTCAGATAAAAAAATCCTTTAACTTGGGTGCATAAAAGAATTCCAAGAATACTGACAGTTATCAGAAAGGAAAATCCTAATTAAAATTAACTAACTGGGCTGGGTGCGGTGACTCACGCCTGTAATCCCACACTTTGGGAGGCCTAGGCAGGTGGATCACCTGAGGTCAGAGTTCAAGACCAGCCTGGCCAACATGGAGAAACCCTGTCTCTACTAAAAATACAAAGATTAGCTGGATATGGTGGCCTGCACCTGTAATCCCAGCTACTTGGGAGGCTGAGGTAGGGAGAATTGCTTGAACTCAGGAGGTGGAAGTTGTAGTGGGCCAAGATCTTGCCACTGCACTCCAGCCTGGGCAACAGAGTGAGACTCCATCGCAAAAGAAAAAAAAAATTAAAAAAATAAAATTAACTGAAGCTCTTGTGCACCTACATGTCACTGCCTGGCCTCTGGGTGACTAGTGCCAAGTGGGCCTAACCAGCCTGCTGTGCAATCCAAGTCAGCCATTGCCCCTCTCTGGGCCTCAGTTTCCCTGCCAGCTTTAGCAGAATGGTAGGAAGGCACAATTACAATCTGCAAATGAGACCTAAGAAACCTACTATGTGCCTGTCCCTACACAGGAGACAGACAAGAAGACACTTGTTCCCTGCCCTCAAGAGAATTCTCTGTCTAGACACTTAGACTAGGACCTTAGAGATTTTTTTTTTTTTTTTTTTTTTGGCAGAGTCTTGCTCTGTTGCCCAGGCTGGAGTGCAGTGGCACGATCTTCGCTGACTACAACCTCCGACTCTGGGGTTCAAGCGATTCTCCTGCCTCAGTCTCCCAAGTAGCTGGGATTACAGGCACCCACGACCACGCCCAGTTAATTTTTGTATTTTTAGTACAGATGCAGTTTCGCCATGTTGCCCACGCTGGTCTCGAACTCCTGGGCTCACGTGATCCACCCACTTCAGTCTCTCAAAGTGCTGGGATTACAGGCATGAGCCTGGCCCAGAATTTTTTTTTAAAAAGTGAGAATCAACAATGAAACAAGAATATCTCTAGGCATTTGGCATGTGTCAGGAATTAGAGTTTCAGAAAGGATACCCAAATGTTAGTTTCCACAGGAAAGGCTCATTTAAAGCTGGGTGGACAGAACTCAGAAACAAATCCTCATGGAGAGGAGTGTTTTACCTAAAACAGAAATATGGATCTAAAATTTTAACCTTTGGGGTAAGTTTTGGCTTAGGAGGTCTTCCCCACACCCGTGCAGGGGAAGCGGATATTCTGAAAAGACTAGAGTTGACAAGGGATGTGCAAAACACAACTTTCACAGATACAAAGATGGGGTCTGAGTGCAAACACAAAATCGACAGAATCACATGCTCTTGTCCTTAGTTACTCTTAGTCCAAAAACCATTTACTTCTTCCTATTAAGCCTTCTCTGATGACACCCCCGTGAAGGGCTCTGTTAGTGACTGGACCGTGACCTCCTTGAGCCATCCAGAGCTCGGCACTCAGTAACGTCAGAATGAAGGGCACCAGCCTTTCCCGAACTTGCAGATCCTACAAATCACCCGAGGGAGTGGTTAAAATGAGATTCCTGGACCACACCCAGAACCACTCAATCAATCCTCCAGGACAAAGGCCTGGCTGGCTGTCCTAGTAACAAGCATCCTTCCGATCTGGATATTTAACTATACCAACTCAACACGCTGGGGATTCGGACAAGTCGCAGGTTCGAAATTATAACCGTGAGATCAGGTACCCCGCCAAGCTTTCGTGCTTTGCTGCCAAGCACCCCCAGGGACCCAAACTTCACGGGGACTGAGGCCCAAGGTCACAACGACTGGCTACTGGTAGGACAGGGTCTCAGAACCAGGTCTCCCGGACCCCAGAGCTCGGAGCCCTTTCTCCTCAGCGTGGTGTCCCCGGGGCCTCAGAGTAGGGCTGGCTGCGCAAGGGACGAGGCAGCCTGGGAACGGCAGAAATTCCCGGTCAGGACCCCGGGGCGGTTAGGGCCGGCCCTGGCCCCGCACACCAACTTCTCAGGAATAAACCCGCCGGGACTCTCAGCGGGGCGTCCGTGGCTGCGTTCGCATCGAGGGACAGGGGTAAAGAAGAGGAAATTAGAGGATATAGGGACGAGGGTGGGCCGGGAGGGGACAGTTGAGGGAGCTCTGGCTCTCAGCCGGCCCCCACCACTCTCACCTGCCGCCTGGGCTCGCTCCCGGCTTCTCCTCAGCGGTCGACTCCACGCCTCGCGCCTCTCGCGAGAGGAGGAGGCTCCACGGCGCGACTACTTCCGCTCTCCTAGTGCAGTGGTCCCGACGCTGCCCGTCGCGTCGCCGTGGGCGACGTGCCCGCTTCCAAAATGGCGACGGCAGCGGCCGTGGCTGGTGCGCTTGGCCGGGCGGGCTGGAAGCTTCTGCAGTTGCGGTGCCTGCCCGGTGAGGGGGCTGCCAAGCCGGGGAGAGGCGGGGAGCGCGGAGGGGGCGCGAGGCCGGCTTGAGCTGGGTTCGGCGGTGGGGGGAAGAGGCCGTTGGGGCGGCCCGCGAGCAAGGTGAGGTGAAGGGCATCGGCGCGGGCTCAGGCGAGCTGCCTGGTTAGCTTCGGCCCTGCCCCGCTGCGGGGCAGGTGCAGGGGGGCAGGGCCTGTCACCCCCATTTTATGGAGTTAGCGGAGCCTCAGAGAGGGCTGGGGGTACGAAGGTCACGCAGCCTGAGCCTGTTGGTTACAGAACTGGCAGTCGCAGACCCATTCTCAACTTCATTGCCAAGTCCACTAGAAGGACAGGTGGACACTGCCACAGAGAGCCTAGTCCATTGTTTCCCGAAAGCTAGTCGTTTCCCCACCACTTCATGAACTCTGTGATACTCTCTTACCACCTTTGCCACTATGTACTCAGTATTTTTATTTTTAAATAGGAGTTCTGAAAGAGGAAACTTCATATCACTGTCGTAAATGGAAAACTAATATCGCCTTCCTTAATTAGAATGTATGCATTAACACTTTAGCATACATACATAACTGATGAAACGTTCACCTGTATTTCACCTAAAATCTTCTCATGACCCTCAGTGGTACTACAGTCACACTTTGCATCCGCTCCTTCCTTTTCAAAGTTTTATGGATATTTGTGCCATATCTTTCAGTACGTGTATTAAAATATTGATATTTTTACACATACTGTTCTGTTTCTTTTTTTTCTTTTCTTTTTTTTTTTTTTTTTGAGACAGGGTCTGGCTCCTCAGCCTCCCAAGGAGCTGGGACTACAGGTGTGTGCCACCCTACTTGGCTAATTTTGTTGTTAAGAGGGAGTCTCACTCTGTCACCCAGGCTGGAGTGCAGCGGCACAGTCTCGGCTCACTGCAACTTCTGCCTCCCTAGTTCAAGTGGTTCTCCTGCCTCAGCCTCCAGAGTAGGTGGGGTTACAGGCTTGAGCCACCATGCCCAGCTACTTTTTTGTTTTTAGTAGACGGGGTTTCACCATGTTGGCCAGGCGGGTCCCAAACTCCTGACCTCAAGTTATCCGCCTGCCTCAGCCTCCCAAAGTGTTGGGATTACAGGCATGAGCCACCGCCTAGCCCCCTTTTGTTGTATTTGTATAAAATTCCGAACTAAAGATGTGTAGTTAAAGTAATGCCTATGACCCCACAGATCTACCAAGAGAAGTGAAGGTATGTATCTACAAAAAAGTTAGTACAAGTATGTTCATAACAATTGTATTCTTAGTAGCCAAACACAGAAACAGTCCAGTTGTCTAGCAACAGAATAATATTTTTTATGGAACACTATTCTGCGATAAATACTAAAAATCAGTCAAAGAGAAAGCTGGACACTAAAGTGATAAGGACCGTTTTTAATCAGTAATAACTGTTGCAGTAGGGAAAAGGGTCTAGCATGAACTGAGCGCAACCTTGAGTTTAGTGCATGCAGAAATAACTGGGTGTTTCAAAGAAAAAAATGAGGGAGGAGGTAGGAAGGCAGGTGGGGACTCAGTAGAGTCAAGAAAGTGAATAATTATAAATGAGATTGGGCTGCTAGCTGGCAGTTAACAAAGTTAGGATTCTGTTTTCCCAAAGGGAGACGTAAGCCCTATCCTTCTTAAGTGTTATCCAGAACAAACAGTAAATTTTTTCTTGACAGCCTGAGTTTTCTCAGGCAGGCACTTTAAAGGTGGGTAGGGTTATCGTAAGGTATGTGGCCCTGAGTGATGGTTATGTTAGTGTGTGTTCAAGTCTTTGTAGGCCAAGGTTGAGGCCTAGATAAGAAGAGGGCTCAGAGGAGCCTGGTTAGAGCCTGATCAAGGAGACAATCTTTGCCAGATCTACTGATATGCATAAAAATATGGATCAATCTCAAAAATATACTAAGTGGGCCAGGTGTGGTGGGTCACACCTGTAATCCCAACACTTTGGGAGGCCAAGGTGGGAGGGTTGCTTGAGCCAAGGAGTTCAAGACCATCTTGGGCAACATAGCGAGACTCTGTCCCTATTTAAACTTAAAATAAATAAATATATATACACACACACATATATATAGTCCTAAGTGAAAGAAGCTTTATTGAAATATGTACATGTAGATGAAATCTTAGGACAGGCAAAACTAAGACAAGCAAAAACTAACCTAGAGTGAAAAATTCAGAACAGTGTGAATGGGGAATGACTGAAAAAGCATAAGAGAACTTTCTGGGGTGACAGTAATGTTCTCTGTTTAGATTGGGTTCAGGCTGTGCAAGTGTATACATCCGTCAAAACTCATAGAATGGTACACTTAAGATTTATGCATTTCATTGTGTGTAAATGGCATCTCAAAAAAACAGTGAACATAGAACTCTTCCATGCTAAAATGTTTAGAGATGAGTAATACTGATATGTGCAACAAATGCACCAAAAATCAAGATGGATGAAGAAATGACAGATGTGTAGAACCTAGTGGTAGATATGCAGGTGTTCATTCCATAATTATTTCAATTTGCATGTTTGAAAATTTTTATAATAGGCCGGGGACGATGGTTCATGCCTGTAATGCTAGCACTCTGGGAGGCCAAGACAGGCGATCACTTGAGGTCAGGAGTTTGAGACCAGCCTGACCAACATGGCGAAACCCTGTCTCTACTAAAAATACAAAAATGAGCCCGAGAGTAGTGGCGGGTGCCTGTAATCCCAGCTACTCAGGAGGCTGAGGCACGAGAATCACTTGAGCCTGGGAGGCAGAGGTTGCAGTGAGCCAAGATAGTACCACTGCACTCCAGCTTGGGAGACAGAGTGAGACTCTGACTAAAAAAAAACAAAAAAAAAAATTTTTAGAATAAAAAATGTTGGGAAATAAAAAAGTAGTATGAATTTATGCTTAGGAAACATACTTCTTATCTTTCTTAAAATAAGTGGGGATGTTGCAGATACTGCAGATGAGAAAGCAGAGATTAGTGACTTGTCCAAAGATACCACATAGACACTGGGAGAGTAGGACTGAGACATTAAATTACTACTCCAGAGCTCTTGCCATAATATATATAAATATGTAACATTTACAAGCCACTTTTACATTTTGTTTGGGCCACATAGTGGTCCCATTGAGCAAGTAGAAATTATTACTCTAAATTTGCAGATTTAAAAATCTGCACATTGGGGTAAAATTGTTTGCCAGTTATCACACAAGTAACAAGTGGTAGAAACAGGTCGAGATGCTAGGTAGATCTTGTCTCCTGGCTTACCACTTTTCCTACCACTTCATGTCCCAAAGTTCCCAGTTTGCCCAATATTTTTGTGTGGGACCCAACACTTGGATAAGTGGTTCTGGAGGAGTCTCTGGCCTGCTTTTCCTCCTCCTTGTCTGTGTTACCACTCTGGGTCTGAAAGGGTCTTCTCTGTTGAATGTCCCTGACTGACCAGCCCAGTTTCTGTTTCAGTGACCCGTTGCCGACCAGCCCTGGTGCCACGTGCCTTCCATGCTTCAGCTGTGGGGCTAAGGTCTTCAGATGAGCAGAAGCAGCAGCCTCACCCTTCATTTTCTCAGCAGCATTCTGAGACACAGGGGGCAGAAAAACCTGATCCAGAGTCTTCTTATCCACCCCCCAGGTAGGCACTAATCCACCTATTTCTGGCCACTTCACATGCTTCAGTATGTCTGTTCCTCCTTCACTTCCTCTCTCCTCTCCATCCCCTTTTATACCTACCTTCATTTCCAAGGCCATCTTTGTTTTTTAGAATTTTTTATTTTTTGTAGTGATGACTTCTCGCTACATTGCCCAGACTGGTCTCAAACTCCTAGGTTTCAAACTGTCCTCCCCCTAGACCTCCCAAAGTGTTGGGATTACAGGTGTGAGCCACTGCACCCGACCCCAAGGCTGTCTTTGGAAATAACCTATTGTTTTTATAAAATTGGTGCCTGTTTGTCCTAAAACATCTAAACAGTATAGAGAAGTTCACAAAAATAAAGCAGTTTTATCCAAAATTACAGAGATAACCCTGCTAACATTTTTGTGAATATCCTTTTAGATGTTTCTCTAAGCTTATTTCATATATACATTTTTGTATAGAATAGATACAATGTGTATAAACTCTACATGCTGTTCTAGAACCTGTTTTTTCACTCAACAGTACATTTGTAATGTCTTTTCATAGTTTAATAGTTGTATAACATTCCAGCAAATAGCTGTGCCGAAATTTATTTGACACTGTTTTTTATTGATGGATATTTAGATTTTTTTATTGATGGATATTTAGATTTTTTTTGATGGATATTTAGATTTCCTGTTTTTTATTGTTTTTTACTGATGGATATTTAGATTTCCTTCACTAGTATAAGAAATAATGTGATAAAGTGTGTGAATCTCTCCTTAGAAGTGGGAGCACTGAGTCAAAGGATATGTACACTTAAAGATTTGTTACAGGCCGGGCGCGGTGGCTCACGCCTGTAATCCCAGCACTCTGGGAGGCTGAGGTGGGTGGATCACGAGGTCAGGAGATCAAGACCATCCTGACTAACACGGTGAAACCCTGTCTCTATTAAAAATACAAAAATTAGCCAGGTGCAATGGCAGGCGGCTGTAGTCCCAGCTACTCGGGAGGCTGAGGCAGGAGAATCGCTTGAACACAGGTGGCAGAGGTTGCAGTGAACTGAGATTCTGCCACTGCACTCCAGCCTGGGTGACAACAGCAAGACTCTGTCTCAAAAAAAAAAAAAAAAAAAAAAAGATTTGTTACATATATGGGACCAGTTGCCCTCCAGAAAGGTAATACTAATTTACATTTCCATTAGAGGTTTTTTTTTCCTAATCCTGCCATTGAAAAGTTTCTCTAGATCTGAAATTAGAGTGTTCCTTTTCATTTTTCTGGTTTCCTAACTAAAGTACTTTTCATTTCAATTCAAGAAATATTTTTTGAGGCCCTACTATCATGCCAGGCCCTGTGAGTAACATAGCATTGCTCCTGCCCTCATGGAGGTAGTCTGGTGTGAGTTTAGATGAAGAAACCCTCTGAGCACAGTGTGCTAAGGGCTGAAGACAGGAACTCCAGGGTGCAGCGTTGCCTTCATACCACATGACCTCATTTGCTGGATTCCTCTCGGTGCCTATGGGGAGGGGAAGGATGATCTAGTTTTTACTCTGTTGGCATTAAAACATTGATACTGGCTAGGCGCGGTGGCTCATGCCTGTAATCCCAGAGCTTTGGGAGGCCGAGGCAGGCGGATCACTTGAGGTCAGGAGTTCGAGACCAGCCTGGCCAACATGGTGAAACGCTGTCTCTACTAAAAAACACAAAAATTAGCCGGGCATGGTGGCGCATGCCTGTAGTCCCATCTACTTGGGAGGCTGAGGCAGGAGAATCGCTTGAACCCAGGAGGTGGAGGTTGTAGTGAGCTGAGATCACACCATTGCACTCCATCGTGGGTGACAGAGGGAGACTATCTCAAAAACAAAAAACAAACAAACACAAAAACCCCACACTAATACTGACACAAGAATAAATGTCTTCCCAGCATGTGCTTAGAGGAGATCCAGAGCCCCTAG